AGCCCGTGCGTTTCTTCTGAAGTGGCCTTTATGTTTTGTTTTTTCTCTCTGGAGGTTTTCAGACGCGCGTGTGCAGACAGCAGCACCGGCCGCTTCCCCAGCCTGCATCGTGCCAAGCTCGTTTATTTCCCTTTGCCCCGGCTTTTTATGCTCTGAATTTGGGAACATCCAAGGCATCTGTCATTTCACCCAAAAGTAGTTCAGGATGCATCTCCGACAGTATGTATTTTTAATTTGCATAGACATCATACCATTGGGAACTTCTTAAAGATACTGTCACGAAGCCAAAATGGTTGCTTTCATATCTTGTGGTTGTACCAAGTTGGTTTCCTGGCACGTGTTGAAAAGCGAAATGCACATGCTGTGTACAGTCCAATCGGGGTGGTGCCAGCTGCCATCCCTCAGCCCAGGGGACAGGTGCTGTGTACAGTCCAATCGGGGTGATGCCCCAGCCTGCGGCCAGTGGTGCCAGCTGCCATCCCTCAGCCCAGGGGACAGTCATGCTTCCAGCAGGGACCCCAGGGCAGGCAGCCTGCCACCCACAGCCATGTGGCCACCGTGTGGTTGGTGCCCTTACTGTCCGGTTGTCACATGTGGCATGTCACCTCTGCTGCTGTCATGACACGAGGCACACTTAACGGACATCGTCCGATGTCCTTGTCCCATGATGGAGAACGCACCCCACGCCGGCGCCTGCGTCTGGAGCGCGAGCTCGCCGAGGGGCGCGGTCATCACGACGTGCCCTCTCCCGCGGCGACGCCACCCTCGCCGCTGTGGGGACCGACCGCGAAGGGCCCTGCGCTCCGAGCTCCTCGAACTCCTGACGTCACGTGTACATTTCATTTTAAAGGAAACTAGCATTAAGGAAACAAACGCTAAATGTCTGAGTATTTTACGTTCCAAATTGCCGTGGAAATAATCACGTTCTCTAAATATTTAGGGACCTACTGACGGCGGAGAGTAAGGAGCTAATTTCCGCGTTGGGTGGGAGCCCTTGAGCCCCCGTCATCCACTCAGGGCAAGCCGCCACGCCATTCCCTCTTCCGGAGAAGCCGTCATGCTGGTCATGCTGGTCATACTGGTCATACTGGTCACTGGCCGGAAATGCAGGCGCACGCCCTCGCGCTGTGCGTGCCCCTGGGGACAGTGCTGCTCCGTCCGTGCGTGCCCCTGGCCCCCGGCTTCCTCGTGGCCTCTCTGCCTTTGCACCCCCTTCCTCACGTCTGTGCTGGAAGCTTCTCCAACCCCCGTCCACTCGATGCCAGGCTCTGCCCCATCCTTCCTGCCTAAGCGCGTGTTCCTGTTGGGTGAAGACCTCCCCAGGACGGGGCTGCCTTCTGTGTGCCCAGAGCCTGGCCCGCAGGGCTCCAGTGCTGTGGGAAGGACAGAGGACCAGTCGGTCGCATCGCCAGGTCTCCCTAAGGGGCCTGTGGATCCAGCCCAGCCACCGCAAGAGCCTTGTTTGCACAATTCCCACAAGGTGGCCATGTGACCCTGCTAAACCCTCCTCTCTAGGAGGGACTCACAGCTCCCAGAGCCCTGTTTCAGGTGACTCATCAAGATGCAGACATGACAGACCCCAGCCTCTGCCCGCAGCAAAGATCAACAGTAGGACAGCTACCCAGAAGGAAGGCGGGTCTGGGACAGGGCTCAGAAGCCAGCAGCAGTGGGACAAAGGCCCCAGACGGAGCACAGAAGGGGGACGACGGCTGTCATGGCTGCGTCCCCTCCGCCCCAGGCCACACTGTGCCCACCAGGTGGGAGCTCCCAGCCTCGCAGGGCACTGTATGAGACCCTGCTTCAGCTCCCCTGCGCCCAGCAGCCGGCGAAGCCGAGGGGTCCAAGGACAAAGGGCGGCTCCCGGGGACGCTCTGCAGA